TTATTTTTACATAACTATTATCACGTTGCAACCAGTATCTGGTCGGTTCTGGACAATTACTTAAACTTTGCTCACATGGTTTAAGATAATAAGCGGCACACAAGATCTTGAGCCGTTTCATTTCTATCAAAATTTACAGAAGAGGCACAAGACCTTTTTACCAAATAAATTATTCAAATTTGACATAATGAAATATTTAAAGAAACTCTAAACTAAACTGTGACATGTATCTCCGGTATATTGTGCTATTTACTGAAGCAGAAATTATAATGGAGGCATTGAAGAATTCTTTTGGGACCTTCGTGTTTTAATCTATAATATTTCTGACTATGAAGCCTATATATTTATACCTTACAAGAACAATCGATAATTTCGAGTCGCCATCAGGGAGAACTTAAAAATTAGCCAATCACCTACTCTGTTAACAAGGGAAGTTCGGTAACCCAAAAATTCCGATTTTTGTTAAACTTTGCAGGTTTATAGGGGACCTCAAAAGAAGTATAGCGCAATTTTTGTGTTTGGCCCAATTTCAGTTCTTCAGGGTGAAAACATCCCTTAAAGGTAGATAAGTGTTTCCATATTTCCTTGTATATCTTTAAAACTATCGTAGATATAAAAAAATGATTATAATAAAAATTGAATGGTTTTTTATGCTCTAAAAACGATGCATTTAAATTGATAAAAATTCTTTGTTTAAATAAAAACATCCCCCCCTACTTTTATTAATTATCAATTTAATTGCATCGTTTTATAGAGCATAAAAAACCATTCGATTTTTATTATAACTACTTTTTTATATCTACGATAGTTTTAAAGATATACAGGGAAACATGGAAACACCTATCTACCTTCAAGGGATGTTTTCACCCTGAAGTACTGAAATGGGGCCAAAAACAAAAATTGCGCTATACTTCCCTTGAAGTCCCCTATAAACCTGAAAGTTTAAAAAAACAGAATTTTCGGGTTACCGAACCACCCTTGTAAGTGAATAAATCCTAAAACTGACGGTATTCCGCCCTTTTTGAAGGGTACATAACCTCTTACGCTAATTCCTACTAAAAAAAATATTAATTACCACCAAACATAAGAGACTGAAATTAATTACAATGACTCATATTATCTAAGGACCTGCTCTATAATCGAATCCAATTTAGTCATTCTACAAACACGTAAACACAAGATACTGAACACTCGCTGAAATAATCTTGACTTTGCCAGTAATCAATCAGCGTATCAAAAATTCTTTCCAAAAGTCTAGACATCGCATACCAAAAATACGTACGTTCACCCGTGTTTTACGACCGTTCCGTCTGCATGAATGGGACAATGGGGCCATAAATATGTATAACGAAATCACACGCAGCGAGAAGCAACGATGGGACATGGCCAATGACGGTGATCGTATGGCCACCGATTTCCCCGTGGCAACCGTACACGTACTATTCCCATACATCCGGTATCCGGGCACGGGAACAATGTCAACGGTCGATGCCAATGAACCGAGCTCGAATTCCACTTTCGTTTCTTCGACACGCCGCTGCTCTGAACCTGGAGAGCTACACCACTCACCGTCATTGAAAGTTATTTGGGTTACGAAACCGCGTAAACGATTGCAACACGCCCGATAAAAGATAACGAACTACGCTCTCTGACAGGTAATTGTGTGAGCACGGTGTGTGCGTGTCGGACAAGCTGCAGGTTATTATATTGTAATCAGTAATGCTTCGCTGGTAAGATTTTGTTGTAGTTCAGTGACATCACTGTCCCTTATCTCGTGATCTGACAAAAAAGTAGGCAGGAAAATAAGCTTGTCGAAAGGGGGATGTCATATGATTTATGAAAGTATTACTGGTGTAGCGGAGAGGTTTCTCCAATCGAAAAGAATTTAACGACGGAATCATTATGGCTGTTTTGAGGTACTGATATACAGGGTGTAAGGAAAATGTTGGAACCCAGAAATGGGAGACTCGTGAGGTGATTTGAAACAAGTTTTTCTTCTTTGTTAACGAGATATTAACGAAAAACCCCGACTAATTAGAGCTCGAGTCTGCCAGCCGAGTTCCCGCGGTAACGTTGGCTACCAATCGCAGTGCGTAGGTGATTGGTCGGTGTTTTTTGTTAATATCTCGTTAACAAAACTTGTTTCAAATCACCTCACGAGTCTCCCATTTCTGGGTCCTCCAACATTTTTGTTACGCCCTGTATATATAAAAATTGTTGATTGAGAATTTTGTATGTCGACTTGATTTTTAATGTTAGATTATATGAAATTGGAAACTAGATAGTACATATCCTCTAATTCTGTGTTTTTGGCCTATATGATTTAACCCTCATCCTTCCTTCACTTTCTTAACTTAATTTGTCCCTTAGTGTCAAATTGACATAGTGATAAAAAATGAATGCAATGAAGATATAAACACTTAAATTTGCAAATTATTTAAAATAAAAGTTACGAAGCCGCAGCTAGATTTACCTACATATAACAGAATAACATCATTTCATCAAAGAAAAATACGTCAAATTGACACAATCCATTAATAGATGAGGGTTAATCGAATAAACTAATATTTGGATTCGGTTTCAATAAGAAACCTTGACCAATGCACTTCAATTTCATTTACTAGCAAGGTACCATTTCATTTTCGTTCTTATATTGAAAAGGATATTCCAATAGCACGCCACTCATTCTACTAGCGCACTCTATTAGTAGTCACCTATTAAGGTGAATGGCATTCCAGTAGGACGCTAGGAACTATTTTTCTACACATCCTCATGGTCTCAAAACGACTTGTACTTCAAGTGAATGTCAGATTCGTTCAACGGACGAAATGAAATTGGTCGTTTTGAAGACGTCGGCGTATTTGGCCAGCCGAAATGCTGCTTTAATTATTATCACCGGATGCGACCGATATGCCCTTGCAGAAAAGATACATTGCACTTGACATCCCTGTGCGTTGGTAATTTTAGCCCGTTACACGACATTTACGAGGATACCAGCCGGGAACATTTATTCGTTCGCGAGGAGGAATGCGCGGGACGCTCACGAGGGATGACTTCCCGCCGCTCCTGATTTGTCCACGTTGAATGTGACGGTGGATGTGACGGTGTGCACGTGACCGTGGGAAAACAGAACGTCGCGCCACGGTCGGGAACTTTCAAAAGAGTCACCCGCGCGAAGCTCTTGGAATAACGTTTAACGAGGAGAGAAAAGGAACAAATGTTCCGGGAACTTTTAAGGGGTCCCAATTGCCTCGACGAAGATACGCCTTAAGTCAATGCGAAGCTCCACAGTTTACTGCAGGTCTTTTAACTTGGATTGTAGTGCAATTGTTGTTTTCTTTGTTACTTTCACGATAAGGAAAAGTTCCTGGAATGAAGGCTCTACTTTTCCTGGATTAGCAGTTGTGACAGATAGGCATTAATTTTGGGAATACTGTAACCTCGTTCGATTTACAACAGAGAAATAAAAGTATTTATCAATTTTCAGAAATTGTTTTTGCTATTTACTAGATGGAAGTTAGGATTGATGTATCAATATTAGAAGTTAATTACAATTTGGTTTTGTATGTCTACTATGAACTCGTTTTTGCGTTTTTACAGTATACATTAGTTGTACCCAAAGTTGGGGTGCAACCGAAAAGGGGGTGATTCCTTGTGTAAACGTAAATTGAAAATATGTAATGAAAATTTTGTATTTTAGGCTCTGTTTTCGAAAAATCAAATTTCAATATTTCCTTTGCCATTAAATAAAGCTCAGGTGGCGTGTCTGTTCATTGCTTACCATTTCTACTTCTTATAAACACGAATGCAGATGTGTCAGAAAATTTTCAAACATGATTATTTCGAAAACAAAGATTACATATTCGATTTACTTTTGGATAAAAAATTAGTTTATCTTCGATTGGACTACGATTTCAAATACAGCCTGCGTTTATTTTTCAACAATGCATTGTAAGTCACAGATGTAGTATTCTGAAAAATTGAATACCAGAACTACCGAAGTTAAACGCATATCTATTTCAAAAAGTCGATAAACATGAAGAACTTTTGAAAATTTACAAATTTAGAAACTAACTTATTTCTTCACTGTCGTATCATAATAAAAGTTGCAAAATCTCTGAGATAATGTATTGTTATAACAGTTTAATCATCGTTATAAGAATGTACCCACGAGTCATTTTGACTTGTTCAGTAGTTCTAGTGTTAATTATTTCTTTCAATTATGTGCGTACGAAAACTAAAAATTGTGTCTATTTTTTTATAAATTACTTGTTAAAGTCCCAAACTGACAACAAATTATAACAAGCTGGCCAATAATACTATTCGAATTATTACAAATGCAAATGCTTAAATCCTGAATGTATGAAATTTCAAGCGCTATTATTAAGATTTTCATTCGAGGTATTCACAAATAGAGTAAAAAAAACAAACAAGACTTTAATAAAACAACCGACGAGAATGCAAGAGTTTGAGGTCACTGTCAAGTCGTCGAAATAATCCCACCCTTCTTTTTACTCCGATCCGCCGAGGGGCAGCTATTTCGATCGGCGCCAGATCGGTGTCTAGACCGTGTACAAGTTATTCTCGGCTCTCGTTTTAGTGCCATAATAAGCGCGACAAAGGCATTCCGTTGCTGCCATCTGTTAGAGAATGTAGCGAACTGCTCGGTATGATTGACTGGGCTCGGCGGGTTCCGCGAAACCGCCTCGCGCAAAACAATAGTCTTTCCCTGAATTACGTCGACCGAGTGATTCGCCGGGGAACGAGCCAATGGTGACTCGAAACCACGAAGTCTATCATTGCACGGTGATTCCATGGTGCTGATAATCGTCGGTATTCCGGCCGATGAACACCGAATCGATGCAACACAATGCGCTGCCACGCCACTATCGCCTAACTCGTGTACCGATATAGTTCGTCGCAGAACGCATTCGAGCTACGATTAAACACCGATGGCCAGGTCGATAAAACGGCTCACGGATAATGCAGTGTTTACTTACCCGTCACCTTGAAGTCTGTTATCGACCAACTGCGCAGGTATCGGAGCCGACAACTGCCTGACCAGATCGTCCCACTCCCTTTCCCTCTGCTGGAATTTCTCCTGCAACCTCTGCTTCTGCTTCTGGTACTCTTTGAACAGGTCGCCGTTGTAACTTTGCTCGAGGTGATCACCGCCTAGGGAGGTTCGAACAGGGACTGGGCTGAGCTCAGTGATCTTCGCCGCGACTCCAGTCGGTTTCTCAGCCAGGGAGTCCCTCCTGGAACTCCTGGCTGTCGATGGCGCCGGGGACTCTCTGCCGGCGATTCTACGCTCCGGCGTGGAGGTCGCTGAAGGATCTGCTTTGACACCTTTTACAGAAAGATGATATCGTTTTATCGGGATGTTCAGTATTGAAATCTGAGAAAAGTTTGATACTGAAGTAGCTTATGTACGCGTTAAATCGAGAAAGTGAACTGGTCCCCTAATGGGAAAATGTTCCGTTTATGTATACAGTACAATTTGGATTAGTATCCGAAAATTGGCACTGGAGCTCAGGTAATTACTAAGTAGAGGAATTGATTCTAAATATAGAATCAACGACCGTACGTGAAAAAGAGAGAGGGACTGAAGCTCGAGGTAACGACAAAATTTACATGCCTCTCTGTGTTGATGAGACTATACTAATGCAACAATGACAATTTTGTATTTTTGTTGTTTTTTTGCAATAAAATTTTTACTATCGTATTTGTGAGATTTCTCTGATTAAAATGATACCAAACGCAGTATAATTTGGATCGTATTTACTTATTGATTATTTATGGCACGTAAACATTACCAATAAATAAATATAATTCAAATTATATTGTGTTTGATCTTGTTTTAATCAGAAGAATCCCACAAATAGGTTCGTAAAACCTTCATTGAAAAAAAAAATAAACCATTTTCATCGTTGCATTAGTAAAGCTGCTGGCGTGTTACATTGTATGCCTGACTGGTTCCAAAAGGGACCCCTCAGTGGTGAGGATAAACACCGGATGCTTACGCCGTAGATTGTTTCGGGTACTAATTCAAGTTTTACTGTACTCTGTCGCATCTTTGTAAGAGTATTATGCACCTGTTGCGAAAATATGAAATTAACCCCTTAACGCTCGGTTTTTTCGCAATGTAATGCCGGTTGCATGAATTAATTCGGGTATGCGCGTTAAAGGGTTAAAGCAGCGATCCATATTTAACAGAAATTCGCATAGAACGAGCCAGAATTATTTATAGAATGATCCAGAATTATTCATAGAACGATCTCATAAAAGAGAAATTATGCTCACCATCGGGACTCTTCGACTGTCCTCTGGTCCTAGGCGGCGCCTTCGGTTGCCCGTTGTTGGTCGTCTCTTGTATGGAAGGCAATTGCTGGAATTCGGCGTAGCTCGAGCTAAGGAAGACATCGCCCTCGTTCTCGAAGAGCCTGTCCACGCTGGTGTTCATCAGTTTGTTGTTCTTGAAACCGGTTAGGTGAAAGCTCGCGAAAGATGATCTCGACATTGGATTTATGTCGCCGGTCGAGAGCGCCATTAGCGCCGCAGACGGTATCGGTGTATTTTTAGGCCCGGGACTCCTTGGTCCGAGTCCAGCTTCTAGAGCGGGGACCAAGCTACGCGACATCATGTCGGCGGCGGATCGTGGCCTGGTGAACGGCATCGCGCTGTGTGGGAACGTTTTCGGTTTTATGGGGGTGATCAACATGTGCTCGGTCCAGGAGGTCTCCAGGGATGGTCTCTCGAGCCGTTCCACGTCCACGTTCAACGTTCGTTGGGCGAACGGCACGGCGAACGTTTCCGGCGGTATACTTTGCAACCAAGAGAGTAGGCTTAAATCGGAATCGCTGAAGCCTACGGAACCGTCCAGCAATCTGGAGAAGTTCATCTCTACCTGTAACGAGATCAATAAATAGACATTATATAGCTTGTATGGTTATTCCTTCCCTTATACTCTACTCTCCGTGACCCCCGTTATTTTTACTGCTTCAGTCGCCCCACTGGGTCTGTTATGTTCAGACCTATTTTTGTATCTTATAAACTTTTAAAAAATCTGAACAAGTTCAGGGATATCTTCATAGAGGTTCTACTACATGATCCAATAGTTTTTAAAGTTGAATTGTTAAGGGGTTTTTTAAATAATAATCTCTTTGTCTCAGAGATATTTCAATTGTGTCATAAGACCCAGAGGTGTTACAGAGGGTTAAGGTTCCTAGGTATAATTCTCAGTTCTGTCTGAAGTATCCCCTTACTTAAATTGATGAGCTGACCGATTAAAGCAAACAGGTAAAAGACTGACGATTATAAATCAAAGAAAACTAAAGAACTACGACGTGATTAAGCTAACAGTGAGCTAACAAAACATAGGGGATAACGTTGCCCGCAGACCATGATTAATACCTAGAAATCTCGACTGGCGGAATCGTTGACATACATGAAATATCAGGCAATTAAAGTGTTACCTGCTCGCTCTCCTTTGAGCCAGTAGCTTTCGCCTGACAGTAATTAACGCACGACTCGTACAGGATCCCTTTGATGATCAGCTGTATGAGACGATCGTTCTTCGCCGAGGTGACTGGATGCGACGGATCGGAGCTCTTTCTGTCTCCGGGCAGAAATTTCTCCACCAACGGATGCACCTCCCGGAAACATTGTACCCTCGCGTTGCTTGGATTCCAGTCCTTATACTGCAGGTGGTCGGTGAGTCGCGGAAGCGTCAACAGTAAACAGAGACCGCTGTACTCCTCCTTGGAAGGTGCAACCTTCTCGAGGTCGCTGAGCACCTTGACAACCTCCTCGACCGCGTTATCGACGCTTCCGTTTGGCCCGACAGCGATCACGTTCGCCTCGGACTTGATGCACAGCAACTCGACGTACTTGTGCCGTAGGATCGAATAGGTGAATTTTCGCATGTCGAAGTCCGGCAACGCCTCCAACGGCTGTATGAACTCGAGCACGTCGTCCCATTGCCCGTCTAGGATCAGCTGACGAAGGAAGAGGACATCGTCGCTGTACTGACCGTTTATAACACCCGTCTCTCGCTCCAGCGAGAGCTGCGAGATGTGAAGGTCGCGGCTGTGGAGGAACTCCAAGGTTAGTCGTACCACATCCTCCTCGCGCAGCGTCAGATGCGCCGCCGGCATCACGTACCGAATACGCAACCTGGACAGTTTCCAGAGCAGAGAATTACAGCCTCGACCTTCTCTAGCGGACGTGACGGTGGGGAAGGGCTCGATCGAATGTCAATGATAGGGGAGGGTCTAAACGCGGGGATTCTGACGCGGCGTCAGGATGCATAACCTTTATCGTACGGCATGGTAATCGCGGATTCGAGATGGTCGAACTGAATCGAGTCCTTTGCATTCCGACTCGTTTTTCCTTTCGTAGCGTTCTCGGAGTTTTTGTTGGAAATACTTTCGATACTATTGCAGACTATGTGCAGCGGTTCTTGGGATTCTTTAGAGAAAAATGGGGATAAGGTATACAATTTATACTATACACGTTATTTGATAAGTGTGAAAGTCTGCCGAGTAATGTGTAAGGCAATTTTGAATAAGGAGTTTCTTTTTTGTAAAATTCCTATTTAATGTTTTTTTCTGAGGATTGTGATTAGGCCATGAATGTTTAGGCAAATTTACACTTTTCTCGGAACTGGAGAATGTATTTGTCAAGCTCTGATCAACTTACAATATTAATTTAGTTTTTTAATGCAAACATTAGCGTGCTAGTATTTAGAAAAAAAATAATATACCAATATATGGTTCGAGATCAGTGTAACAAGTCGTTCGATAAAGGTTAACAGTGACAATGAATTTGTTGCAGCACATCGCGAGATCGTTTCGTCTGATTAATCTTTCATGCGATTCACGATTGTTTATTCATACATTAATACCCTAAAACTATTAGAAGACTGATATGGTCGAGTACAACTTCAGCACTTAATGTGATAGTACATTGTAATACCTAAAACATACCATTCTAATATGTTTGAATGCATTTTCCGTAAAATTTAAATATATTTTCAAGAATTGGAAATAAAAATAATTAAATACTTCTTTTGGTGTTCCGTATATTATGGAAGTAGAATAATTTAATTGCAAGTACTTCTACTCTACAGTTTGTAATAAAATGATCCACAATCTAGATAAGGCTTGGAAAACCTATGGCACGTACGAAAATTTTGCTGGCACGTGAACCATTTACCGCTAAATCACTTTATACGCTTATAGAGCGTTCCGATTTATTTTGTAGTTGTTATAATATTTACAAGTAACTTTCTGAAACCTGTAGTTCAAAAAAACTAGCGACAGCTATAGTATCAATTTTCTCCTCTACATCTGCTTGGGAGTCATTATTTTCCGAAATGAACTATAAATATAAAATACACTTTAAGGAATAGAATAACTGACTAGAACGACGAAATATGAACCTGATATAAGCCATTTGGCATCCAATGTACAACAGTAAAAATCTCATTAATAAATAATTCATATTGATTTTCACAGACAAACTTCATCACAATTTATGAGTTCATCCTTCTAAAATTCTATATTAATTTTTAAAACTGTCTCAATAATATTCTGCAATAATTACTTCTTTATTAAATTTTTCCCCTTTCAAAAAATTGCCTAGCAACTCAATAAATATTATCTATAAATTTTTTGCACGCGTACAGCAAAAAGTTCGTCACCACTGATCTAGATAGTAGCCAATGTCTCAATTTGTGTTCTTCGAAACATAGTAAGAAATACAACTTCATGCCAGCCCTACCAACCACCATACGCCTCAACAGAATTCCCCTCATTCGATACAATTACAAACAATTATCTGTAAATACTACGATCGAGAGGAACGTACATATAGGTCAGTGAATCGAAAATATGAGGTAGCCAGATATCTAAGTAACCGTTTCCCTCCGTTACAATCAATTCGACCGATAATTCCTACAGTCAGACGTATCGCAAACCAATTCACTGGAAATTACTGCTCGAACGATGCCGCGCTATTGCAAAACTGAATAAATAGTATGCACGTGAGGAATGTGCGAAATCCTTGTATTTACAAGTTCGTTGCACTTCGAGGCCGCCGGCCCTGCTGACATGCCCTGATTAACGCCGCGAACTGGGTGGATAGATTCGGACGTTGATCCATCGTTCTCCTACTGAACTACTACTTCCTAGTGCACTCGAAACATTTATATCGTGCTCGACGAATTACTCACGTTCATTCCCGTTGACGCGTACGCACGGATCTATTGTCCGATATTATTCATACGGCTAGGCAGCACAGCTGAAAAAAACGGTTTTTTTTGTGCCGCGGTTTTTCACCATTTCCATATTGGCCGAATGGAACAGAGCGTAGATAGGCACGGAAAGGTTTTTCCGGGCACGAAACGCCGACACGGATTTACATAAACGTCGTTACCATGCAAAGACCACGTGACGCCGATATTCTATCTCGTCCGCCGAAATATATTAATGCTGTAAAAACGGTGAACTCGGTATATCGCGTGGCTATCTAAAATCGGCCACTTTATATTCCCCCTGGGGAACGTTTCGATGGCATCAAAGTCGTGTGGAATCGAGGTGCGAACAGGAGCAAAAAGAAGAAGATGGAAGAATCGCAAATCCGTAAGAAATCGTCATCGATTACTCGCATACAAAATTTTCTCGGAAGCTCCTTCCACGATCTCCTGGGCGTGAATTACGAATCGCGTATTACAGATAAAATAGGATGAAGTGAAAAATTATTAGCTTTATTTGCCCAAGGAATCGTCGAGAACATGACACCGATTGCTGCAATATTGCAATAATGCTTCCGTTGAACGACGAAATACGTGTTACTGAAATTTCTTGAACAAAGGGTGACCCGAAAAAGCGATTCCACGATTTCGTCAATTAGATACGTGGAACGCGCAGGTTTGACAAAAGTGCGTGTCGCAGGAAATTCGCGGTGTCATCAATTCGCGGGGATTTATTTACTTGGCCACCGGGAGCCGGGATTCGCAGTCTCGATCGAAGCATCGAACGATTAACGACGAAACAATGGCGCTGTGGACCTCGGTGAGTTTTTTGTATAAATTTGTAAATTGTTTTCTACATGAGAATCTTGGTACCATTTGATTGTACTAAAATTAATAATATGTTTCGACAGTTTTCCGTGGCTATTCTTTTAATCGGCAACGCGGTTGCTGATATTATGCTGCAACCTGGTTACGGACATCCGCAGCCCGCGTTCAATTCGCAACCATTAGTGCAACCACTGTCAACCCTTCACCACGGAGCAGATAACGTGGCGTTCCAACAACAACGGGAAGCCTTTGATCCAGGATATCATTTCGAGCTTCATCCGGTGTACGGACATTTACAACAACATTTACAGCCTGCCGATGGATCAGCATTTATACCGAGCCACGATTTATCACCGTATATGTCGAGGACAGCTTACAGACGATTGACTGGTGGGAAGATGGGTGGTCTTGGTCTTGTTGGACCGCCTGCGATCCTTCCACACCAGTATCTTCCTTTGGTAAGTGCTGCGATAATTCCAGTCTGAAGAGTTTCGTCCGTTATAATGCGTACATTTGAACGAACGTCGGATATTATCGACACTTGTGGGCTGCAGAAAATGTGCCTCGAGTATTGGAACACGAAATAGCTCTCTTGTATTGAACTAGAAAGAATTTTATTGAACTATGTTCAGCAGAATTGTCTTCTAGAGTATTTCAATTTAACGGTTCCATTTCTAAAGGCTTATTTTGTATCTTCGCGACTTTAGTTTCGTGGCGTGTGTATTACAATATTCTTGTTTAAAAAGGTAATAGCGAATAAATGGGCACTTTTCTCAGGCAGTACATAACCGACACAGACGATCCAGCGATGATGAATCCAGTGTTGGGGTACAAAGGGAGAAGCGTGACAAATCTAATGTGGCCGCGAAGTCGACCCTAAATCAGGATGTCCCGTCGGTCGTTGATTTGCAATCTCAGAACGGAGAGGCTACGAAAAATTTGGATGGTGAGTTTCGAACATAGTAGCAAACATTGCTCTTTATAAAAACTGTTTTATCAAAATATCCAAACAAACTAGTGTCTAATTACAAAGAGTCACAGATTTCTTCACATTCATTCAGAATGTACACAAATCATGACTGTTGGTGAGATCTATTTTTGTCCTGCCTTGGTAACAGTATATTTGTGAGATTGTATAATGGTCTATAAAAATATCTACAGTTCTATCTGAATAATTCATGTCACAATAGCATATTATCGGTACACAAATTGGACAGTATTCCCAGTAATTGAAGCGCAGATCGCTTTCATTGTATTCCATCTGGTGGCTCCAAGTTCGTAACACAAAAGAAAAAATTCCACCTTTATTCTACTTCTGTTCTTCCTGCGATATCTACAGTACACTTGACTTTGTATATTTTACCACAATATTTAATGAACGTATACAGTCGAGTACATTCTAGTTACTGATCGTTACCAGAAAGCACTCACTCCTCACTAATGAAGTTATTATTAATCTCGACAGAAAAACGCGTCGAAGTCCGCCAGAGCAAAAATGATCAAGCGAACGCTGCTACCCTATTAGGCATAAACCCATCAAGAATGTACCCCGTGCAGAATCACTACCGGTACGGGGAGCCAGACTTCAATTCCTATCAACCTATCATCAGCAGCCGTCTACCGATGGTAGCCCAATTAAATACTCGAGCTGCGATGCAGGAACAAACAACTTCGCAGCACCAAGCCGGAAGTTCGATGCAAAACTCAGCACCCCGAATGAACCCTGAAGATTACCAGCATGCTATTCTGCGACAAGCGTACCAGGAACAACAACAACAACAACAACAAAACGGAATGTTGCAGGCTACCGTACAAGATCAAAGAAATGCTCCTGACCCTAGACCAGTGTCCACGACCCCTAACTCGTCGACGGAGCCAATGACTACGAGCGAGGACAGCAAGTCTGAAACCCTTGTAGTGAGTATTTTTTTCTTTATTTATATATTGGGAATCAAAGATCGAAATTTTATCAAATGAATCAAGAGGAAAAGACTGAGAGATTAGAGCAGACTGAAATAAGTATAATATAATGAGGAATTAAAATCTGTACTATGTACAAGAGATCGAAATTCTGTATATTTGGAATGTATAGACTTCTCTTCCATTTTTACGCACTGCCAATTAAGAATTAATTAATGATTGAACTTGAAGACTTTCAAAGACTCGAGAATTGCATTACATATGAGCTCCATTAAAAAATTAGAAATGAAACTCATTACACTTTAGACCGAATGTATTCACTGCAATTTTATGGATATTTTCAGTTTTTCATTTGTTCATTTGGAGTTAGCAGTGGTTACTACTTTTACGTTATATTATAGTGTGTGCCGTATTATTTTACAAAATACTATTCGCCTCAATAGTAAAGATGCTGGAAGATTTCTTAAAATTGAAATGTGAATCAGGTAAATTTTTCATATGCATCTGAACTTACAAATATTCAGTGAAGCTCAAAATTCGACTCTTAAAGTTACTAGTAGAAAATTATTCTTTAACGAAGCCGTTATTTAGCAAAAAAGAAACAGAAATTATGTAAATTGGTCTTGGCGGAACTATTTCCAAACAAATTTACGTTTAAAAACCTCAGCTTTCTTACGATAACCATATGAATATATTTATACTTCGATCCCCTTAGTGCATAATCTCAGACCATTTATTAAAATTCGTTGAAAGTGCACTATCGAGCCCTGCCGCCATTTGGCATACATTAACCGAATGCATTCTTGGCACTGACACTCCCAAAGACTGCTAATCGACACGAAGTAATGTATCGTCTCTGTTTCTCAGGCGGCCAGCAATGTCGAGCCAATCGACGATAAAAACTTGATGAGCTCAAGGTGCCACCACCATCACCACCACGCGACAACATATCTACATCACCATGGGATGTTCAGAGCTCCAAACACACCGGTATCAACTGAGAATTACGCTGGTTCCTGCATGAGTCCCAACAATTATATGGTCTACAACGACAACTACCAGACGTCGAGCAACGTACCGTTGACGCAGCTCGGTGGATATCAGTCAGCACAAGTTTATCAGCTTTCAGCCATTCCCCAAAGTTATCCGACGATTGGTGGCTACGTCTTCCTGCCAGAGGCTTACAACTACATCAATTCCGTCCCCAATCACGACTGGAAATATCCTGCCGTCCCGCAGACAACAACATATTGTTTGCAACAGGCGAACACAGTACCGACCGTAGCGTATCAATTCATGTGAAACACGAGCAAAGCAAATCGAACGACCGAATTAGATTAATAGTTTATTTATTACATTTTATACGAGACGCGATAGCTGTTTATTTTATACCCCGTGGCTGTCGTCGAAATCCGTCCATTTAGTGGCTATCAATTACACGGTGTCGGCCATACGGCAATAAAAAGAGATGATCTTGGTACCATTCAACCAGCCGATGTAATATCTTCGAATAAACATACGACCACTAAACATCGTCACGTTTATTAATGTCCAATCTCTGTGATCGTTTACACCTCGAGTAACCCGACAATACTAACGAGACGTGTCTGATTAGTCTTCAGTACAGGTATAGGTCCTGGAACCGATATAGCGAGGATGAAATCGGTCAAAGTTTACATTTTATATAGACATTTCACGCGTACTTTTTCATGGTAAAAATATTCATAAATATTGTTAAAAGGACGATTAAGCTATTAGAAAAAATATCGTTTACCACAGTTATTTTGATTGCCCATAACAAATTTTTAAAAATGATAATAAAACTTACGTCTAGCGAAATCAGAATAACGCCTTACGATTTTATTTTTATTGCTTCAATCTCAAGGATTACTTTATCGTTAATAATTTTCATCCAGATACAAATGGAATTCTATTCTCGTGGCAAGTGTAACATTTACTCTGAATCTTAAATGTTAACAACTTAAATTCAAAGGAAACGAATAATATACATGTTTATTGAATTCAGTTTGAAATCGTCATTATCTGTATGACTCCATGCTACAAGGCAAGTGGTTATGCAGGCTTTAATTTAATCAAGTATTAATTTACGACCTCGCTATATCGGTTCCAGTACCTATACGCGATTTAACACATTGACTGTCAATTACGACACACGTAACTCGTAATCAAAACATTACAAAATTTTTCCGTGAAATTAATATCGCAGTATAATTTAAAACAGGACAAACAGCCCCTATTAACTATGTAAACACATATATTTTTGACGATTTATGACTTAAAAAACGAAATAAAATATGTCTGGTTACATGCAGCCTTTTTCACTGTGGCAGTGAACGCGTTTTTTTTCCGAAGCATCTTTACGGTAATCCTATCGCTTAAGATGGCTCACGCAAATTTTTAATAATTATAAATTCAGTTGAAAATTTAACAGAACATTTTTAAAAGCCTCAACTTGCGATTGCTAACAAAAAATCGCAAGGTTGACGATAAAATTATTGAAAAAGAAACGTTATAAAAATTTCTTTTTAACACGAGCCTTACGGAACTGGAAATCCTACTGTGAAGTTAATCGTTTCTTATTCACTTACAAAAAACATTTTCATAAAAAAAATTAGGTGGTTATAGATTTGTTTACGTAGAGTATGATGGCACGGAAAAAAGATATGTTAACGATCAAATAAAACTAACAATTAAGATCAAAATATGCAAACTTAGATTTCAATGCATATGGTAGTATCTTCTATTCTTTGTTCGACGAACTTTCCAATTCTTTCTTAAAACTTAAAAAAAATTAAATTTTGTTGCAATAAGTAAAAAAATTTGTTTTTTCCCACTTATTTGTAAATTTCTTCTCCATTTCAGTATTTTGAAGTAGTTTAAAAAATTAATCATACAAATTAAATTGGTGAAATTGATAAAAAGTACAAAGTGCCATATGGAGCCCCAGCTAGATACGACATCAAACACGTGAGCTACCTTAATCGCAGAAGCAATCGAAAAGAAACTGCCCCCCCCCCCTTCCGAATAACGTTAAATCCCCTCGCATATTATGTAATTCCTCCCAAACGAGCGTGGATCGAGAAGTGAACAATTTTCACGATCGTCCTTTCCATTCCGGTTCGTTCACGCGTCCTCGGCTCCGCTCGTTTTCCAGATATCTGCGGAAGATTTCCCGGTGTATTATTAATATGATCAGGCCCGGGGCATGAAACTTTCGTAGCGTTTCCAGGGCGTCTCACGGCGACCATTTCTCGGAGGGGGAAGGGAGAGCAGACACGACCGAATGACAATCCAATTTCGGACAATTTGCCGGGAGCGTTAATTGACCCGAGAGCACCACAGATAAGCGAGAGAAGCTGTCGGTGTAGAACAGAGCCATCGAACAACCGTCCAGGACCGGAAAACCGGGGCAAATACCGATCGAGCGCAATTTCTGATTTCTCGCTAGCGTTCCCTTCCCCGTCCCTATATTCATCATGAAATGTAATTTCTTCGAGGCTTCGTAATTTCCACGGGACGGATGAAACGGGTGCAACCCTGTTTGCCGTTCGTTACCGTTCGTCGAAAGTGCAAGCGAGAAGATAAGGAAATTACTCCGTGTAATGAAGTTCGGGGATAGAACGTGCCGGGCGTGAATACACGGGCGTGCAGAGGAGATATGCACACAGCCTCGATTATAGGGCCTGGGATAGGCTAGACGTGGCCGAGGTGAGAACGTGAATGCGGATAAATTCTGTATTTACGGTCACCGGCACGCTCGATGTCCTCGAGGGCTGTAGGAAGGAACAGGGAAACTGCGAACGTTTCGCAGCATCGGGGAGATTAATTTTCGCGGGGCGGAAAGGTGCGTCCATTTATAATCTTTATGTAAATGAAATTTTTTTCTGTAGGGTCCCTGTAGTTCGCTCTTTTTCGGTTACGATGCTTCTGTGTGTGGACTGGGAATTTAAGGGTGTGAGTTGTATGTACTTTGGGAAATGAAATTACTGACGATGGTCGATGGTTGCCTGCGAACCTTATTTTACGAGGAAACTGGAACTTTGTGCGAATTCATCGATTTTAGATAGGTACTAATATACAATAAGTAAAATTCGATAGAAATTTATTCCTGTGCTAGGGACTTTAATTCGTTGATAGTTAATAGTGCTTCATTTTTTAAAATCATTATTTTATTACGTTTTGCAGGTCGTGGAGATGCTATAAATGCATAGACATCTGCAAGTTTATTTTGCACATACTATTTATTTTTGCTTTTTATTTATAAGGAATTTGGTATTGGATATCCAGATGGAAATTGCAAAACAATTAGATTTAAATTTAGAAAGTAATTTCGAAAAATTGTGGACATCAATGGTACAAATATATTTCTGCTTTCTCGATAGAAGCGGATAATCTTACATGATCGAATAAATTATTTTATTCAAAAATCCACTGTTTCTAATGCAGCGACTTAACATATATTACATGGTGCATACATACACAAAAAATGTTATTCTCGTGAAATATGAATGTTATGTTTATTGATATTGCTTTACACTGTACTAAAGAAAATCACGCGTCTTTTTATAAATACGTTTAGAAATAAACACCTATTTTGTGATTACCATGACGAAAAATTTTATTAACACACTACACGGAACAACTAATGTCTTCGTGATCAAATAAAGCAAGTACCCTCGCGAGCAAACTCGGCTTCCTCTGGGGGAAAAAAGTGATGTAAGGGAAAGACCTCCTACCACTCGGTCTCGGAGTTACTGAAATTTATGCCAAATTAATATTTGATTCAACATTTATTTCAGTATTTGAAATAAATTTATCAAGCGGTAGAAGGTCCTTACCCCTATATTGCTTTTTTCCCTAGCGGAAGACAAGTTTGCTCGTCAATGAGAACATAAAAACCTGTCTACATTTTCCTAAAATACATGGAGTAAAATATCGAACAGGGGATGTTCCATACAGGTTTTATTTAATGGCGCGTAACAATGGGCAATTAGCGTTATTCAGAAGCTAAACACTCCGATCAACAATCGCGCCGATAAAATCAGTCTTTTATTCGCCGATCGCGCTCATGCAACTTAATAGCTCGTTTAATCTAGCAGGCCGACGTTGTGCAAATGGGAAGAACAAGCTAACCCGGCCTTTTGCGGATAACAAACACTCTCTCGTATCGGTGTCCATGGAATCAATGGGCCTCCCCCCTTGAGCCGTTGAAAACGAGCGAGGTATTTTCATCGTTTCTGGGAAGGCGTATCATTGATCTCGCTCGTCTTTCCCCTAGCAACGCGAATCGAATTCCTTTATTTTCTGCAGCAATAGGAATTGTGGAACAATGCTATTATATGGTATTGATTATAACAATCCTTATCCGTTTCAATAATTCTTCAATACCTTCTAATTTACATGAAGTAAAGAATAAATTTCGGTACAAGTTAAACTATCAAATTCGTAACTTTAGTAATAATTAGCTAAGAGAAAATATTTCTTAAAATGATGTATATGAATTTTTTTAATTGGAAATTTGAAAATTGAATACTGAGAGATAATACAATCGTCCGGTGATGATTCATACATGAAACTGTAATGTAATAGGCGTTTAGGACGACTATTTGAATGATTTCGTATTCATTGCTAGACCCCAAGAAACGATCGTAAACGTCACTCATAAACACGTACCCGCGGAATGTTGGGATGTTGAAAGTGCGCTGCTGAAAATTACGGAACGGGACGCAAAAGACGTGTGGAGCGTGTACACACGTGTAAACATCGGTGTTCCGCGCTATATAATTGAAACTAAATTTCACAATCTTGCCGCCCGGCTCCCTGATCTATTCCTGGTTTGCGCGGTCTAGCGAATATTTTGGCTACAGTTTCATTTCTATTACACTTCTACTTAGAACAATATAGAGTAATAATCTTGTTAATTATTCAATAGAATATTTTTCTCACAAATAAATGTTTCACAGCGGGGAAGGTTATTTGTTTTTACAAAAGGAAAAAGTAAATATGAAATGTTATTAAGTAGTGTTTTATAGCATGATACCTCGATTAGTCGTTGATGAACGTAACGAAAGTTAATAAGCACCGAAAGTTTCTCAGACCATCTTGTTTTTGGTACGAACAATTTGGCACGGATATTAATATTGCCGTTTGGTATTCATGAAGGCAGTTCGCCGCCAACGACGGTGGGCGTTTACTTATTAAAACGGTTAATTGATACGAAATCGATGGGGGGAAAACGCGTTTATTGAACGGAAGCTACGAATTGTACGCAAATCGTTCCACCACGTTTACCATCGTATAACGGCCGATGTGAACACACCGTTATTCTTGTAACAAGTAGGTCTAACTGGCTATAATTAACCATTAAGTTAAGAGGAGAACGGCTATTGAAAAGAACTACTAATCGATATTCAGAAACAACCGATTGAAATGCATTGTTGGGAGAAGCAATCACGAGTAATAACATATCATCTTCTTCTACGTTAAATTGGTCAACGGTGA